TAAATCTTCAGGCCTCTGGGATTCCCAGTATGTCTCATTATGACGAAAAACAGGCACCTGATGCATGAAGTGTAAATACTGTACACAGGTTAARTGAATTGCTGCATTCTTCACTGGTGAATTCCATCTTTATGCCACATAAAAAAGAAAAGCAAGGAAAGTTAAAAATATAAGCAGTAGGTTCCATGTCATCTGCAATGAAACTGTTTCTACTGTGGTGGCAAATCTGTCGTCTTCAACTTACATTCATGCCTTGTGTTATGCCACTCAAAAGGAAGTTATCTGATTTTGTAAGAAAAAAAAAAGCATCTTTTTGRTGCAAAACCTCTCCATTGGTTAATCAAATCAGACCAAATATCTAGTAATACATCTGTGTGTGTTGGGGGGAATTGGGAGGAGGGGAATGTTCTTTCTTGTTTCTTTTTTGACCATTTTGGATCTCCTGCAGGCTGTTTTTCCACCTACTGATTCAAAATAARAACACCTGCTTGAAGATGAACCAGAGACTCTAAACACCAGGGGGAACTGCATAACCCTACACGTTCTTTTGCATTCTCTTTGTAACCCCCACTCCTCTGCACTTTAAGACTCTCACATCATGGACCCTAACCTTAGATGATAGTAACTGTGTGAGGACCAAAAACTACCAAGCCCAACGAAGAAAGAGACGAAAAGAACAGTAGGAACATGGATCGTGTAGCCATGCAAGTCCTTGGCATTCTCTTTGCAGCCACATGAGTCTTAACACTTGATCACTCTCCCAACCCTAACCGTTGCTGTGGACAGAACTCATTACTACCAAGTCCAATTATGTCCCAGAGACAGAGCCATAGGAAGAGATACTGTGTAACCCTACATGTCCTTTGGCATTCTCCTTGAAGCCACACTCCACAAGAGGTTCTAAGCTTTYATCACTCTCCCAGCCTAATTCCAGCCCTAACCCTAGCTGAAACACTTGGCTTGGCCAGGACCCAAAGCCACCAACCACAACGAAGATTCAGAAACAAAAAGTGCCATAGCAGGTGATTTAGGGCAGCCCCACAAGTCCTCCTGCATGCTCCCTGCAGCCCCACAGCACAAGGGCCTGCAGGTTTCGTCACTCTCACAATCCCAACCCCAAGCGCTGCTGTGGCCAGCGCTCAAAACCAGCAATGCCAATGAAGGCCCAGAGATACAAAGATCTGTAAGAAGAGATACCGTGTAGCCCTGCAAATACTTTGGCACTCTCTTTGTAGTCCCACTCCATAAAGAGCTCTATGTTTTATCATCCACCCTAACAACCCTAACTGTTGTTGGGGATGGGACCCATAACCAACCACCCCAGTGAAGGTCCAGAGAAGAAAGCAGCAGTAGGAAGAGTTATCTTGTAACCTCACATGCCCTTTTGCATTCTCCTTGTAGTCCCACTCCACATTAGACTCTATGCTTTATCACTCACAATCCTGACCCTACCCCGCCCCTAMCTCTAGTCCAAACTGTTTGTGTGGCCAGGACTCCAAGCAATCAACCACCAAGAAGGCCCAGAGGCAAAGGACTGCCGTAGCAGGAGATTTGGCGAGCTCCTCACATCCTTTCTCATTCTCTTTGCAGCCCCAGTCCACATGTGACTATCACTCTCAAATCCTAATCCTCACCTTGGACCTGCCTGGGATGCTAAATTACCAGCCTCACTGAAGTTGTAGAGATGAATTTTGCCTTAGGGGCAGACTTCAAGTCCCTCATCGCTTGGGATGCCCTTTGTAGCCCCGTCTCCATGTGGATCACTACACTTTATCACTCTCCCAACTCTAGCCCTATCCCTCACCCCAAGCATGGCCAGGAGCTCAAACCGAATCTACCAGACCTAAAGGAGTCAAATCTGCCATCAGATTAGACTTTACACCTTTGGTGCCTGCTAATGCTGCCTCCTTAACTATCAAAAATGTTTCTTTTTTTGTCTATAGTCATCTGCTCATTAGAAATGGTCACTGTCTGTCCTACCAGACAGGGAGAGGAATAAMGGCCTGTTCAGGCTACATTCCTTGAGCACCAAGAGCAGGACACAGGAGGCCACTTCTATTTTTGAAACTGGAAGCCCAAACTCTGCTCATCTGTCCAGGAAAGGACTTGCCTTTCTGCTGTCCTTTATGTGACTCTGACAAAAGCACACGGAGAGGGGATGCTGCAGGTCTGATGCAGTGCCACAGTCACCAGCTCAGCAGGTCACAGCACTCTACAGCATTATAAAATGCACATGGGCTTCTGCTCATTCAAAGCAGAGGTAGAGATGGGTCATTCTAGAGTGAGCCTGGGGAAAACTGAGCAGCAAATATCTCAGTGGAAAATGAATTTAGTTTTGAAGCCATATCTGGAATCACTTTGCTGGTTATATGAGTTTCCATCTTGCGCCCCTACACCAGAATCCACGGATATTTTTAGTAGTCCCATCCATATCGCAAAGGGCTGACACAGCACGGAGGGTGTGGGACATCTGGATTATAAAGGTGAACACCAGAGGCAATCCAGCCCAGAGCAGCCAGCCAGGACGCAAAGCAAAAGCCGACAGGCTGTGTCCAGAGCCACCTCCCATCCCAACTTCCGTGCAGTTTCAAGCAAACATCCTTCCCAAAAGTAAGCCTGTGCAGAGCAGCTCTCGGTAAGAAGCGGCCAGCAGCCGGCGGTCAGCTCAGCACACGCTGCGGCTGCGGGCAGGACCTGCAAGCGGGATGTCCCTCCGGCTGCCACCAGCAGGAATGAGGAGAGGGGAATCCAACCCAAGGCACCRGGGCACTGCAGCCCCCAGCAGCGCTGCGCAGCGACAGGGCTGCCCCATGTCCCCAGTGGGGACACCTGGCTGTGCCAAGGGCGACAGCGAAACCGGACGGCTATTCCCGGGACTTCTGTCTCTCCAGCTAGCAGCTCCACAAGGCACTTTGAGCTCTCTATATTTATAGGGTTGAAGCACAGTTAGCCTTGCAAATCCTTGGCATGCAACTGAGCTAAAAAAAAAAAGCCTTCTGCTCTTTTTCACTCATATGAAAGACCTTTGAGCTTTTTCAAAGGCCTACCTGCAAGTATTATTTTCATAGACTTCACCAGACTATTTTCCATCACCTCAGTCCTCCAACAAAACAGATTTCACATGTTTTTCTATTTGTTTTCTACTCAAACACCTTGCAGCCACATACTTGCAAGAAAAACACAGTAACAACAAATCTGCTAGTGGAGTGAAACATTTCACATTTTACCTTCAGAATTCAGAGCAGGGCTTGAAAAAAAAAAATCTCTGAAATTCATCCAAACATCAAAATAAAAACAGCATACTAAATTCCTGAATTGTACACTAAAAATAAAGGCATCTCAAAGACATACTAAAATAAAGAATGGGGAGGTGTTTTTCTTCTGATATTTTAAAAGATTCTACAACAGAAAATAAACACCCATAATCCAATTAACCCCATAAGCCTTACTCAACAACAGACAAAAATAGCAATTTTAAAAACCCTTGTTTTATTCCAAAGATTTGACTTCCTGGCAAGAGCTATTATTTTATTCCCTAAAGCGAATTCAGACATCTGGGTATGGGTAGGAAGGAGAAAAGAGATTCATATCTATCTACCTATATATATATATAAAAAACATTTTAAAGCTTTTTAACACCAATACATATTAACAGAAGGAAAATGTTTGTACTTTTCCCTTTTCAAAGTCAGCAAACAACATTAAGAAAAAATACACACACAAAAAAAAAATCCCCAAAATAAGACAGTGCTACAAGCAGATAAAGAAAGATAAACTTTTCATCCAAATAGACGTAGGATCATTAAGTCTCATTTTTSTAAGTTACTTGAAAATTGAAAATTTTATAAGTAAAGATAGTGCCCCTCATAGCAGATGTCCCATAGTAAAAAGGAAATCAGCAGCTCAAAGACAGACAGCAAGAACTCTCTGAAACTAGCACTGAAATGTAGATGGTGACTGAATGCAAGCAAGCCTGCTATGAGGACTGCATACGTTTGGAAATAAAACCCCATTCCAAATGCACACATGACTTTCCTGTTATTGTARCTTCTTACTCATTTCAGATTAATAACGCATGTCCCTATAACAGGGTCCTTCTTCAAACAATAACCACAGTGGGGTATCTGTGACACTAGGTTATCTCCTTTCAAGAAAGGCCTAAGCAGCAGATGGTGATTACTAATCATTTCCTGTTAGACTTTTGCCTTTTCTGACAAGAAGGAACATAAGAATGACACAGAACAAGGGGCTTTTTTTTTTTTTTTTCCATTTTAAACACTTGACTTTTTAGCATTATTTTATGTTCCTAATTCATGCTTTGTATAAAATCATTCATTATTTTAGAGCTCTCTATTTTATGGCTCTGCAGTAATCACTTTTCCAAGCCACAGAGTCCTAGTTTGCTTAGTCATTCTTATATTGAGAAGCTTCCACACCTGGAAGCCATCCTTTTCTTGGTCTTTTCCAGACCTACAATATCATTTTGGGGCAAATATGACTAGAAACAACATACACACAATGCAGATGCACATTAGTTTAAGATGTCACTAGTTTCAACAATTGCTCATTGTGACATTTTTCTRCYTTTTTAAAATAAAGATTAAAATAGAGAAAAAAATAACATCACAACCTCATTATATGGCCATACATTATCTGGTCCAGAAGGAAGATCCATCCTTTCTTCTAAAGGATACTTCTTTAAATAGCTTCACTGACAGTTTTTTTTTGCCCCTTTTTTATTGGCTTGACAATCACTAGCTGTCTATAAATGAGAATAAACTAAGAATAAAAATGATACAGTACATWACTGTTATTAGTTGACTCGTGTTCTTGCTCCATACCATTTGAAAAAAATGGATTAAAAGCAGCAAATAAGACAACTGTATTTTATATGATTCCACAGAAATAAATATGTCCATAAGGAGAGGAAAAGAAAATTTAAAAAGCTTTCAATAAATTTTTAACATATRTATCAACATATATCTGGTGTTTTATCTTACCTTTTGGCCAACCACAGTTTGGTTCCTACAGAGGTAACGATGTCATTCAGTCCCTCCTGAAAGTCTGAATTAACGTGCTGTTTCGACTCCAAGTATGACTGCAGCAAGTGAAAAACCTAAGTGTCCCCCCAAAAAAAGAAAAAGAAAACTGAAAATTGCTGTGGAAATATTTTTGAACTCAAGAGTTTCTAACCACTGCCTTTCCTTCAAATAACTAAGATGCAAACAGCACAAAAYGAACAACTGTTGTTCACTGCTCAAGCTGTGCACCTGTACACAGGAAAAACCGGAATTATTTTTTGTTAATTGTATAGCCACAAAACTTTATAGATTATGCTTTCGATTTTGGTGCCCTGAATTCTTTTTTTCTTCATGGTGCTCTTCACCCACCTAAGGACAAAGAGATGGCAGCCCTCAATTGCCCATTCTTTACAAGCAACCTTTCAAAGTGAATGAGCAAGCAGACACCTGAGCAGCGCTGGGAGACACCGGCCTTGGTGAAGAGCCTGCAGCACAGGGTGTTTGATGGAGCACACCACCACTCCTGGCACGTTACCAACTAAGCAGCCCCTAGCCTCCAAACTTGCTTCTGTGCTGCCCCCGAGTAGTGTCAGCTCTGCTGTCCATGGAGCATTTGGCAGCGTGGCACACCAGATGAACAGAGCTATCTGTGTTATACAAGTACAAGCAAAGAAGCAGGAAAGGGTGAAATGCTGCAGCAAAGGCACAGGCAAATTCAACAGCATATGTTAACCATAAGAAGTTACTAAAATTATACGAGGGAACTGCAAGAAGTCTGTTTCCATTGCAAAGCTAATTACAGTTCTTGAGTTACTGACTATACAACTCACATATTGCAAGAAAGTTTTTCCTGCATTACAGAAGTAAAAGACACAGATTCCCACAGTGAAATATAGTTGGCCTCTAGGCATACTAGGTATCAAATGCCTGTGATTGCCAAAGCTGCCTCACACTTAAAATTTGGATATTTAGTTACCTTTTCCGAGAAAAAAATTGAGGTCTTTACAGATTCTAAGCGTACAGYAGCACAGACCTATCTTTAATACTGTCCCAGAGATCCTTCATTCAGGGCTCCAGTCACACACAACAAAAGTTGCACAGAACTGAGTTGCACAGAAAAGCAGCCGATGCCCTTTCTTTCCAAGGAGAGGAGAGACTGAGCTGCTTACACTGGAGCTGCAGAAGCATCACCCTGTGCTGCCTCCTTCTCACCTTCACAGAGGTGATTCATAGACACTTCCCAGCCACCCTGAAGGAAGGGATTCAAAAGACCAAAAGAGAAAAGACAATCTGTAAAGCTTTCTTGCCCACTTATTAACAAACCAAATAATTCCTTTTCTTAGGGCTTTCCTCTGCCACTTAAAAACAAATTTCCAAGTGGTATTAATACACAGAAACGTATTAAGAGAAAAAAGAAAAAGCTATATAGCCAATGGAGTCATAAGTACGAAGAACAGACAGTAGATGACACGTGGAAGCTGCCATCAAGGGACTGCTGGAAAGGAAGARCTTTCCAGTAGTGGGAAGGGACTCTCCAAGCAGCCCCTGTAGTTCTCACCTTCTCTATATACGAACACACTCCTTCTCCTTAGGTTTCACCTGTACCACCCATAACACAAGCGAACAGGCAACATGATTTAGTGTCTGTACAAAGAATATGGTGCAGTAACTACACTGAAAGGGCACCCTCTTACTTAGGGTAATGATATTTTTATATAGGTGAAAACTGGAAGCAAAAAAGAGTGCCAACTCTCTCTTTACGACTTGCCTTGAAGCCTCAAAATCCTCAATCTGTTCATCTACACAGGGAGCTTACACTGGTAAGAGTGACAGGATCTCTACATCAATTGACAGAACAGACGCTCCACTGATTGCTTCTTTAGATGGGTCATGCTCAGAACCTAGAGCCTAGGGAGCTTTAGAGATAGTATCTTATCAGGCCCTTTATAAAAACACATACACACATGAGCATTTTATATTAAAACACTTCATTTGTGAGAGTATTGGCATCTCACACTTGCAAAGAGACAAGTTATGACTAACACACAAAGCTGGAGTTTTCACTTCACTTGGGAAAAAGAAAAGTCATCTTCATATTTTTGTATCTCAGCTCTTGGTCTCCTTCATTGCCACTTGCTTTTGGGGTTCTCTTTGCATTTGTTTGCCTGCTTTGGAAACACAAGTACATCTGTATAGCATTAACTTCAGACAGCTTCATCCGGGTTATTTTTCCTGAAATTATTCAAGTAGAAAAACAGCTGCAGTGGTATCAGATAGTCATAAGAACTATACATGGAACAGAARAGAAAACAAGAGACTACTCAATTCATACCAGCRCTGAGGTAGGGTCTAACACACTATGACAAAACATGTGCCAGACTGTCCTCCTCTTGGAAATGGCCAGTAAAGTAGATTCCAACATACTCTTAGGAAAGCTCTTCTAGTGTTCCACACTTGAAACCCAAGCTCTTAGAAGGAAGGTGTTGCTTTCCACTCCCACCCTTGACTTTTGCCCTCATGGACCAGGAAAACAACCGTTCTCAGGACTCCATTCAACTGGCTCAAATTTTTTCCAAGTGAGGTAGTTGCTGAGCACAGAGCTCCAGCCAGAGCCCCCCCGTGACAGCAACAATGAACCAAACTCTCCTCTCCCTGGGTTAACAGGTRCTGTGTGTGCGAGAGACTCTGGAAGGATCTCTGCCTCTTCTCTCGCTTTACAATCCTTTGAGGTCCTCTGTATTGAGCATCATTTTGTTGACAGGAAACCAACTTTCTAGCTTTCCTGATCTCATTTTGAGTATCGGTCTGTTCTACAACATGCACTGCAAAAGCACAAGCTCACCAACACRGTAGTGATGCTCTGTATTTGCAGATCATACAGAAGTTTAAGTATAATAAACAGGTCCAGGTGCAGAACTAGTTGGGTATCTGACTATTCCTGAAACTATTTCTCACTTTGAAACTCTGCTATGACTAATTATTCCTCCAAGAAGAGTTCTCTCTTTTTTATTTTATGTATTAAGCACCTTCTTCCAAGGCTTAAACACATCCTCCCTCTTTAGGAGTTTTTAGAGGTGGTTATTTCAGCTAATGACTTAACTCAGATGTGATTTTCACCAGACCTCTCCACTTTGAATCCCCATCTTAGCCTACTCTGGCCTTCGCAATTGTTTCCTATCAAAAGAGGTYGTGGAAGTATCTACTAGAAATCAACCTTTTCATTAAAATCAATGCACAAAATTGGCATTAACTACTAGTTTCTGTGTCTCTTCTTGCTGTTTGTCCTTGTGTTAAGTACATCAGGATGAAGGGATGAAAAAGGAAAATGTCTATGCAGAAGATCCTGTCATCTTTTATTTCCTCTGCTAATTGAAAATTATTTCATGCCTTACCCTCTCTGATTTTGTTCCCTTATGCTCATTTCCAGGAATGAGAATGGATTTACCTCTAAGCAATAACATAAAATCTGTCTCACAACTGTGAAAAGACTATCATATTTTTTTCCCAGAAGTTTAAGTTAATTTAATCACTTCAGCTTTGAAAACAACTCCCAAGGCACATCTCTTCTAAACCCACACAAAACCTAAGTAGTTCAACAGGTAAAGCAAAAGACCATGAAAGAGGGAATACTGGACATGCTAAATAGATTGATTTGTGATTTAAAATTAGACCTGTTAAGAAATTTATGACCCAAAATGCACACAGAACTTCTCTGCAATTCTGTCTCCAGATGAACTGTAAACTCTCACTATGACTTAGATGGCAAAAACTATCAGGAGATCTCATGAACGATATTTATCAGCATAAACACATAACATCTCTTTTTTCTTAATCTAAGTCTGATTCACTCTTGAAAAAAAGCCATTAGTGTTCATCAAAGGTCATGTTCATCTACTGCAGTTTAGTCCTCTCTCACATTTGGTATATGTAAAATATTGACTTTTTTTCCCCCCTCATCATTTTAATCCAAAACTTCCATCATTTATTCAGATTCCCTCACCAAAAATTACAGACCTCAGTAAACTTTCATCATAAAGGAACTCCATTTTATCCATTTTAAGATTTTGGAATAGGTAAACTAAATGCAAAATCGAGTTCAATATTGGCATACTTTATTCAAAATTTTCTGCGTGATTTTACAGAAGCTAAAGCCGCAGGCAGCAAACAAGCAGCCTGTAAAAGTTAACTGCATTAATCCTCCTTGACCAGCATGTGTGAAATGCCATTGGCAGGTTCATAGTAGTCCACACATTTAAGCTTTTCTGATACCAAGATTCCTCCTGAAAATGTATGAAGACATTGCTAATGTCATGTAACATAACAACTTAGCAGCCATAAAATTAATCTGTTGTGGCATACTTTGTCTAAGAGAGAGATAACATTAACATAAAATTTTAACATAGAATTAACATTTCATASGCATTAACATTAATTTTATAAGAGGAACTGAAGTTTCTGAAGTTTCCAGACTGTTAACCTCAGACACAAACCAATGACTAGGTGATACTTGGGGTGCATACACACATGTTCCTATTTAAAGAAAACCCAGCTCCCAACATGTGGCTGCACAAAGTCCCTTTCTTAAAAAGTCAGACTTTCCACAAACGCTTTTGAAAGTTACATGGATTGCAGATTTTTCAATGAAGTGGCAAAAGTTAAACTCTCCTCCCCTTAAGCTGACCTGAAGCAATAAAAACTTCTGCATGCATGCCCTTAGCTATGTTTGCATGAAATTAAGTATACAGTACAAACATTCACATTCCTAACAGCCAGGMTGGAACAGTGCTCTGCCTGTTCAGTTCAGTGATCCGGGCAGGGGGAGAAAAGCAAACTGACATCACCCTATACCGTACATTCTCTGCAGAGATCATTTATTTAGCTCCCTAAAATACAGATGTTTCGCCAGCTGAAATAAAATGCTGTATAAACAGTAAGCTTGGAAAAATGTGCCATTCACCAAGCTCTGGAGACTGAAGTAACAAGAAAAGAGGAAAAAAGGCTCTTGGCAAAATACTAGCAGTAAGATCATTGCACTAAGCCAAATATGGTATTTTGGAATGGCTCTGTCAAAATCTTTTGCCTGAGTATTAACATG